CTCCGTCTCTGTTGTATTTCCGACCATGCGTGTTTCACTCCTAGTTCGTCTCCTTGACATAGCTTTTTGTTCAGTGGTTTCCCAAACATTTTATCTTATAGAAAGCTTGAGCTCCATGTCACATATTTGAGGATGCCTCTCTTCATTAATTTTCTTTACCTTTCTCACACTCCATTTCAATTCTTTCACTTCTTTCAAATCATCCAAGAGAAACTCAGGTATTGAAACCTGCAAAATAAAATGATTTCCATCAAGACGGAGCATATAAGCTAATAGCATTTGAAGCAAATAACATGAGCAGCATCAATATTTGGTAGGCAGTAAAAATGAACCAACAACAAAATTTAGCATGCACTCACATCTTCACGATTTACCAGGCCAGCAATGTTGCCACCTCCAGCCCAAACGGTCTCCACCACACCTAGTATACGTTTATTCACTCTCCATTTGGTGTTACCTAAAGCATCCAGAGCCTGTATATACAATTAAAACTGAATATGTTACCTGCATCACACATCTCATTAAGAAACTAAGGAAGCATTCGATCAACAAGTATCTTGTGATACAAGAAAGGCGTTTAAGTACCTTCTAGAATCAAATGTAAGAAAATGTTTAGTACCTCTAGTTTTATTTGAGTGATATAGTCCTTTTTTGAGCCTCATTTTTCCAAAAACTCATTTTTTCATGACTCATTTTCAACCACATATTCTCTAATAAAATAATTTTACACGTAAACCGAAAGCTTTTTCTTATTTTTTTAACCACACATTCTCCAAAAAATATCACTATTCCAAAACACATTTTTTCCCCAAAATGGGGCTCAAACAAGGGCATAATAGCTATTTTAATTTTAAAGAAAGGAGGCACTGTAGATTTGTTTGGGAGAGAATTTTTAAAGATCATTTTTTCCCAAAATCACTACCAACCACACATTCTATGGGAGTCATAACTTTTCCATACTTTTTAACCACACATTCTCCAATAAAATCATTTTTCACTTGAAAACATCTCTACGAAACAAAAGCTATATAAATTTTAAAAAAATTAAGAAGCTAACATATTTAAGCTTCATTAAGACAGTAAGTATAATAAATTTGCAATTGAACACATAACTCTACCACATAATTTGGCATTTTTTAGCATTTTTATACTACGATATAATCAAAATAATTCCAGCTGTAATTCGTACACTTTTTGCATTTGTTTCCCACGAACAGTTCTAATAGCATCTTGTTGCTGTGTGATCCATGCGTACTGTAACGGACCTCCCGTTCGGCCCTTGAGGTTCCAAGGACCCCCAAGGCAGCCTACCCCACACATGCGACCGGCAAGCTTAGATATGCAACATAAGCACAACATAGGGATAGAAAGCATGCCATCCAAAACCTGTTAAAGGGACATCGTCAGTGCACTTCCGAGAAATATAGCAATAAACCCGCAATAAACTATCTTGCCATACCACATGGGTAGGGGAGTTCTCTAGGTCCGTGACATACTCCCCCACTCAATCCGTTAACATCCTCGTAGCGGACATGTGCTTCGCGTCTTCATGCATTGCATCATCCCTTCAATTTAGTAGGTTCAAAATTTTCTCCACAGTGCCCCCTGCACCTCTTCCCGCAGTACCCCTCGTACATGTCGCCTTCGACACCACCTTCACCCTATGCCCCTGGCATTAGTTCCTCAGTGGACGGCTCCCTGGCCGCTGCATCACATGCATGTCGAAGTTCAATCACAAATACTCCCACTATAACCAGTTTACACCGCAATGCCTCGATCAAAGCTCGTGCAAAGCAACATTCACGCAGTAGGCAAAATCGCTTACTGGATGCCCCCTAACATCCATCATCCTCGAAACTTTTCATCCTCGCTTTCCACTTACCCTGCACAGAGGATAAGATTAGAAATTTTAAGGCCAAATTGGAAAACTGATAGCTGAGTTTACATAGCTTAGATGGCACAAAATCGAAAAATTTTAAAAAGAAAATAAGCAGAGTTTTCTTTACGTGAAAAGAACATACTTTGAGAAGCCAACCATAAATAAACAACCTAGAATAGTATCATGAATTTGTACCCAAAAGTACCATGTCTACAGTATAAAATGACAGAACAAATTTACACAAATTTCAGTTATCAAGCTATTCAAACTAAGACTTTCACAAATTAAATTGTAAAAAGATATAATAACTTTAAACTCATCTTTGCCAGAAGGATGGAAGAATTTATTTATCATAGATTAAAGATGAAAATATATACTTTGCCCACTGAACAGAACAAACATGAAACAACTAAAAGGAGTTGAATTGACTCACAGTTCCATCAAGCCCAGCAAGGACCAGAGGATCGCATTCTATGACCCATACCTCTTCACAAGGTTCTGCCTGAAAGAGGCGGAATAATTATTGTTTTATGGTTAAACATTAGAAACATAAACTGCCGAAGAATGCATCAAGGTCATTCTCAACCAATCCAACTTAATGTGTCGTGTGAATGAACCATGGGTAAAAAATGAGACATAATGTTTTTCAATAGAACATTGAACTGGCTGGCCATTTTCTGAACACCACAACGGTAATATATATGAATATGTAACTGAATTCAAGCGTAAGGTTAGATTATTTTGTATGCAAGCATGACAGACCATGATAACAAGGCACAAGAGTGAAGTTCTTCAAGGATGAACTCCCTAACGTAGAAAAATTCTCACCCGGGTTCTCTGGTTGCAATTTTGAAGAGGTGCCTAAATGCAGTTCGAACATCAGGGGGGCTATTGGCTGACTGATTGACTGGAGGTTTGCACATAAGCAGTATGTGTTAATAGCTCTATCAGATGGCATCCCAACTGCAAGACATAAGGTGAGAAAAATGAATTACCATTGTAATTAAGGTACATGTATAGCTGGATCACAACTTACTGACAGTTTCGTTCAATTTTTTTTTGGTGTTGTGTTTATATAAAATGCAGATGTTAGAGAATGAGTATCAAATATATTTATTTCTTCTTTTAGCTTCTAAAAATAGTTTTCCAAATTTTCATAAATTTCAATAGTAAAATTTTCCAGCTTACTATACTGAGATGTGTCATTTGATCAAAAATCCGATTTTACAAATCTGGAATGAGATTTTGGCATCCAAGTCAATCCAATTATTTCTACAAATAGTTTCATTGGCTTCAAGCGGTAAAATATACCTTCATTGTTGGTGCCCACAAGCAACAAGAATAATAGGCAACTCGCATAAAAGAATGACTCCCACCAGATTCTATTTTAACAAAGAGCAAACTTACCTTGTCTCTGCTATCTATTTTTACGCGCGATGGACCAATTTCTTTTTCCATCATTATTGTATTACTAATAGTTTTGAATATCTTTCTGATAATTCTTCAAGTATTTATTGGATAATGGTGCATGCTAAGTTGTTTAGGGATACTAATTATTGATATTACACTTTGCAATTCAGTTCAGTACAGTTGATTCTTTATGTTTTTCTGTTTCCTTTTTCCTTCACTTTTGTAGGTTCCATACACTTCCAGAGATACATGTTCCATGATCGTTCATAAAAGAGCTACATCTTGATCCTTCTATGTGCATACAGATTTGAGTTTGATTTTTATGTTACCTCAAAACTTGTGAGTATCTTTGCTGGGAACCAAACATGATTTTACTTTTTTCTAAAAAACAAAATATAAAAACTGAACCAAACAGCCCTCCGATTATCAGACCTTAGCCTGTGTATCTCAACCCCATGAATTGAACTCTTCATTTCTCACCAGTTTTTGGACCTCAAGTACTCTGTTTCTTCTAATTAAACTCTTAACGCGTCTTCTTAGAAGCAGCGCTTTCTTACTTGAAATTCCTTGACTTTCATCTACAATACATTTTCTAGTGAGATTGCTAATATCAGAGAAACTGATGAATAAATTACAGATATTCGCCAAATGCAAGAACAATTCTTAGGGTTATGTAAGGAACAGCAACTACACTAACTAGAGTGAAGTGCTGGTTAAACCATTATATAGAATTAGCTACGTTCCAAAGTCAGAGCAACTTCCATTGACCATTGGATGAAGATATAAGTTTAATTTGATTAATATTCATCACAACAGAACACCAAAGAGCCAATGCAAAGCTAGTTTGAAACTGGCCAAAACCTTCAGAGATTATCTATTAGACTGACCTCATCCAAGCTCCCAAAACAAGTCCTGTAAGATAATTCTATCTGAAGTGTTTAAGCAGAACCATCTCAGTACCAGATTTTTCTATCATTGTCTGTTTAATAAATTTCACACACACACACAAAAAAAAAGGCTTCACTTCATATTAGTGAAATTACTATTGATAGAGTAAAGAATGATCTTAATCATAGAAGAAAAATCTACCATTTAATGTCTTGAAGTCATGTTGAATACAACGATTATGCAGACTTCTATCCTTTTTACATGCAAAATAAAAAATTAAACTGAGTTACTGACATCATCAACAGTTAGAATGTGCTAACATCATTTTAATTGCATATTTGCTGCAAAGTCTTAACTCAGAAATCAGAACCAACCGAACAACAATTTTACTGCAAAAAGGGACAGTATTACAAATTCAATTTTTAAAAATTGTTAGTTGAAAAATCATAATGCCTTAATACATATGAAACCTTAGATACTCACTTCATGCTCAGTAGCTACTCAAATTTGAATAGCAGCCTCCTCCACGCGCACGCACTAATCTTCGTTTCCCCGCATCATCAACAGCCCCATTATCTTATGCATCACAATGACAGCCATTTTATCTGCGGGCAAAGCATCAATAAAAGTGGAAGAAGCTGTCTTTTGTTTCTTTGACCTCTTGGACTTTTGTTCCTTCTCAATAGCTGCCCTCAACGGCTCAAACCATCCCAAGATCAATTTCTTGACATAAGGCAAATTTTGCACCAATTTTCTCTCACACATTTCCCTCTCCAATTCTTTATACTCCTTCGCCGTATTCCCCAGCGCCTCGGTCTCCACCTTAATCTGTCTCCTCCATAGTAAATAGGATTAAGCCATTTCTACATACATGGAGTTTGACATGCTTTGGAAATTTAAAGTGTCGTTGACGGGAAAGTGTGTAATGTTTAAAAACTGGCATGTACATTCTTTTGTTTACATGAAGTTTGACATGCTTTGGAAATTCAAAGTGTTGTTGGCGGGAAAATGTGTGATGTTTAAAAACTGGCTAATCATGATGCGATATGTGGCATAATGTCAAACTTAGGGCGTGTTCGGTAAAGATTAAAATTGGATTAAAATTGAAAAACTAGCCATTATTGTTGACTTTTATTAGATGAGTGAGACTCAATAACGCTCATATTTTCAATTTTAATTGGATTTTAATCGGAAACAAACAGGCTCTTAGTGTAAAAAAAATTGTACAAGTTGCATGATCCTAGTAAATAATATGGGGGTGCTTGCGGTTGAAAAAATATAGTAATGAATAGTATTTATTATGAGTAGAAAAATAGAGTAACGAATAGTATTTATTGAAGAATGTGTGGTTGAAAAGTAAAATAACTTTATTGGTTTGTGTGTAGAATATTTTATTGGGTGAATGTGTGGTGAAAAATTTTACTATAGCAAAATTTTTTTAGAATAATAGTAGACAAATATGAAAAATGCTTCAAGTACAGATGAATTTTACCAGGCTTTTACCAGAATTTTGAATTCCCACTCACATAGAGTGGAACCATGTATAAAATATTGAAAAAAAAAAAAATTTCCCC